TAGTGAGAGATGAAAACAATGATAAGATGCCACAACTTTAATAGTACTATTCTACTAACAATGTAGTCATCTAGCAGGGTATAGATGACAATCACAAACTATTCTACACAACCCAGTAGAACACAGGAAGGTTCACAACCTGTAGGTGATGAACTACATGTTCATATGATGTACTCAACTACTTACTGACATGTATTGCGGATAAATCCCTGAAATAGTACTGTCAACAACGAAGTTCATGATGATCCTTTGGATGGGTCCTTAGAGATGAATATAGAAGAAAACAGGGATGGGTAATCAAGTTAATTGTTTGATGTGAAATAGATAATTAAACAAAATAATTATATTATTGTGGGTTGAAAACCTTATATACTCACCAGGCTTCCCAGTTTAACCCACTCAGTTTATTTGTATCACAGGTAACAGTACAAAGATACATGGATAGTGATGTTTGGACCTGATATGAGATTTGAGGCGATGTAGGCCGTTAGTATAATAAGATATTGTAAGCCTTGTAATGACTATGTTTATTCTTATATTTTTATATCAATTATGACATCCCAAGTTTTAATAATCAAGAAAAAAATTATTTGGAGATAGTTTTTATGGGACAAATTCCACAATATGAAGAATACTCTATTTTAAAATAAGCATAAAGAAATTGTCTTTTCGCAACGTAAAAATGGGGATGTCAAATTCCTTCAATAGGCTTTATGTTGATAGGATAAATCTCACCTTTCCTCTCGGATTTCATAATTACTTTCTCGGATTCCTTGTGAATAATTTCAAAACCTTCCTCATAAAATGAAACTTTTTAAACTAGTACCTACAACGAGTTGAGAAACGCTTATCAAATTATGTTGTAATCCTTCAACATATGCTACCTTACGAATTGTAAATTTGTCATTAGTTATCATGTCATATACTTTGATTTCTCCAGTCGCATTGTTTCCAAACTTTATTCTTGTTGCATCATTCATACTCCGAAGCTCCCTTAATTGTGATTTCCTACCTATCATGTGACAAGAGAAACCATTATCAATATACCATTCCGATTCATGTTGCTCGTCATACATTATATGCAAAATTACACCAATTTAGGAACCCAAACCAGCTTGGGTCCATGTAAGATTTTGGATTAATAACAGGAAAAAATTTGGTTTTGTCAATCTAAAATGATTTCGTAATCGAAACATTATCCACATTTTTCACCATTTTAAAAACTAGAATCCTTTTATCACACAAATTTATTTCAACTAAATTAAGTTTTTTATTGAATAAATTCTTTTGCTTTTGGAATTATGCTTTTCAAAAATTCATTTTCCTCTTTCTTTTGTTTTGTCTCAATTTCCTTCAAAATAGAACCTTGATTTGAAATAACTTTCTTTTGAACAAAAACTTGTTTTTTTTATTGGTTTTCATTGAAAAAGATTTTGATTTCTCATTTTTCGAAAATGAATTTAGATCTTAACGTGATTTAATATAGTATATTTTGGTGAATAATATTTTCGATCAAAAGATCTTGATGAATTGACAGACTTTTGATTTTTCACATTAGATGAAGAATAAACATCTTTTTGATTTTTAACAGAATTTATCAATGACTCTTTCTGTCTTCAAAATTATTGTGTTTCTTTCAAATTCTTTTTATATCGAACATTTATTGCCCTTTTCTTTTATTTCTTTTTATTGACAAAATGTTTTTGCTGATCATTTATTTTTAATTTTTTTTAAATCTTTCAACACATCATCAACATTTGAAACACATTTCACATTTTGAGTTTCATTCATTTCAACAATCTTATGTGAAATTGCCACATCATTCAAAGGTTCACAAATATACATATCCTTTTTTACTTTCGAGGATGTTTCCTCATAAAGAAATTTTGTTTCGTCAGCATTATCTATTTGTGCTGACCAAAAATAATCATCACAATAATTGACTTTTGTTTTAGGGAATAAGACTTGTTAAGGTAATTAACTTTTCGGATTGTTCACATATAGGTAACTATCTTTTTTTTTTGTACACATTTAGGTAAAAAACTTTTTGGAACTGTTCACATATGACCATTATGACCTGCTGTAGCAGGTTACATCCAGCTACAGCAGGTGATAATGATTATATGTGAACAGTTTCATCAAGTTCGTTACCTAGATGTGTACAAAAAAATAGTTACCTAAATATGAACAAAACCAAAAGTAAGAGTATATTACATGAATGGTCCCTACGGTTTGGGGGAATTTGTGCATTTGGTCCTTAACTTATTTTTTTTTTAACTCGGATGGTCCATACTGTTTATTTTTGTTGCGCGCTTAGTCCCTGTCTTACCTTAAAAGACTATTATGCCCTTATTAATTTATTTTTTTTAATTAATTTTCTTATTTATGTTTTTTTAATATGTTTAAAAAAATTAATAGACTCCACATATCTGTATCTCCTCACCGTAAACCTGAAACCACATTTGAGAAATCTAATTTGGGTCCCACCGGTCACCATCCCATCTCACATCCTCTTCAACCTCTATTTTCTTTCAATCGTTAATGACATGGAAGTCTTCACCATCCTTTTTTTGTCCTTCAACTCTGGGGAACAAACACCATAACCCACTGTCTCTTCACTTTATTGGGTTGTGGTGTTGGTTCGCTGGAGTTGAAAGACCGAAAAATAATAGATGGTGAAAGAACATAATTTGTGGTTTGAGCTAGGCATCATTTTGTATAGTTAATTGAGTCAGTTTGCAGTGTTTTATTTATTGTCATGTAATGTGTGCTGCCACACATGTGTGTGCGGCCGCGCACTGTGTGTGCGGCCGCACACATGTGCTTGGCCGCACACTCTTGTGCTGGTAGAAGGAGTACTATAAATAGCATCTGAGGTGTGTCAATCTGTACTTTTTGGCTAGAAGTTTGTGACGTATGTGTGTGTTTTCCTAAGGTGTACCTGACATTTATATGATATAAATGTGTGCGTGCTTGATTCAATTTCTTCTTCCCAATCTAAATCTAATTGCTATTAACTTCATTGATTACTAACTTGGATCCTTAATTTTAGGGACTTACAGATGGTGAAGACTTCGTTGTCATTAAAGATAGAAAAGAAATATAAGTTGAAGATGATGAAAGATGGGATGGTGAGGAGATACAGATATGTGAGGTCTATTAGTTTTTTTAAACATATAAAAAAAAATACATAAATAAAAAAATCAAAAAAAAATTAAATTAATAAGGACACACTAGTCTTTTTAGGTAAGACATGGACCAAACACAACAAAAAAACAGTATAGACCATCCGAATTAAAAAAAATAAGTTAGGGACCAAACGCATAAATTCCCCCAAACCACAGGGACCATTTGTGTAATTTACTCTTACTTTTGGTTTTGTTCGTAACTATTTTTCTTTTGTACACATCTTGGTAACGAACTTGTTGAAAGTGTTCACATGTAACCATTATGACCTACTGTAGCCAGATGTAACCTGCTACAGCAGGTCATAATGGTCATATATGAACAGTTTCAAAAAATTTGTTACTTAGATATGTACAAAAAAAAAATATAGTTACCTACATGTAAACAAACCGAAAAATTAATTACCTTAATTAGTCTTATTCCCTTTGTTTTATCAATATTATCAGTTTGTACAGACCAAAACTTATCATCACAAGCACTGACTTTTGTTTCATAAACATAATCAATTTTTGCAGACCAAAAATAATCACAAGAATTGATATTATCAGTCTTTACAATTGAAGTTAAATAAGGTGTATCATTCATGTTCGGTTCTTTCATTAAAAAAAATTGATTTGGTGTTTTCTGAACTTTTGAAAAAACAACATTTTTTTTTTTTAGATTTTTCATACATTAATTTTCAACAAATTATTCAAATTCAATTGAATTCTCAAAAAATCAAATTTCTTATATGTTCTTCAACATATTTTGCAAAAGAAAAAAAAAATCAATTTCATCTTCATCTAATCTCACTAATTTCGTTTTCATCAAACTGAAAATCAATATATTTTATTAAGCAATAATAAGTTTCGAAACATGAAAATTATTATAACGTTTGAAACATGACAAAGTTATTATAACGTACGAAATATATTGTTTTAAATTAATCTAAATAACAATAGTAGATTTATTCAAATTTTGTTACAATCAAAACAAATTTTCAATATTCATCGAATTCAATTAACGAATAATTTATGCAAAAGTAACCTATGGAGTTGTTTTGACTTCGGTAGAATCATTGGATTTGACTTCTTATATACAATTAATTTCAATGTTAATGCTTGGGCCATTATGGTTAATTAACAAATACTTTTAATATATTTATCATTATTTTCAACGCAACTATCTATCAACATTGAAATTGATTTTTTTTAAACAAACTAATCCATTTGCAAATGATATTTTCATTTAATAAAATGATTTATCCACATGAAATGTATAATATTCCTAACGTATACCATAATATGTTGCATCTCATATAGATAGATCAATTTATTAAGTGAAAATATCAACTCTCAATTCATTGAAGCTAATATAGTCTAAAATTTGGTTAAGTAATATAAAAAATAGTAGAAACGCTGTGAATTTGTTGAAAATGTGAAATAAAGAAAAATATTTTCCACCAGCTAAACCGACTAGATATAAAAACATATGTTTGGATTTATCAAAACTCGGACAGACAATTCAATTCACTTAGGCCATTTCCAATGCATTGAACTCTTAAGAGTTCAATAGATTGCCACATCAGCATTCCACTAACTATACCATTTAACCTATTAAATTCTACACTCCATTAAACTCTTAAGAGTTCAATGGATTTCCACATCATCATTTTAATTTTTTTTATAAATAATATTAATAAATAAAACTAGAATATTACATTAATTAGAAATTCAAAGTTACAATTACTAAATATTAATTAAAGATTACAATTTAGAAATTAAAAGTTACAAATAATATACTAAATAAAAAGTACGAAATCTAAAATACAAATTTTACTTCATATTGTATTTTATCTTAATCTCGTCACAACGATTTCTCCAAATTTCACGTCCATCTTCCGACATGGTAGTGGGATCCATGAAAATGATTGAAATTTCATCATTCTTTACCTTTTCTTCTTTAATCTTCATCTTTCTTTCTTTCAATGCATTTTTCATATCCAAAGAGTTTTGATAGCGTTCAAAAGTCTTTTTATTTTCTTCTATATGTTTTTCAAGTATTTCATCAAGCCTATTACCAGATGACGAAGTGGAATTGGTAGCTTTCCCTTTTGCTGCTTTTTTTGCTGCATTCCTACCAATTGGACGAGTTGTAACTTCATCATTATCCAGGTTAATGAAAGATTTTGTATTTGATGATGACATAGATGCCCCAAATGCAGTGCTTGAACCTTTCCATTTCTGTTCATTTTTAACGATATTCCAAATATGTTCGTGCCTAAAATCGGCACCATATCTAGCATGATAATGCTCAAAAGTTGCACGTTTGAGATCATCCTCAGACCATCCACTAAGGTGTTGACTTTTCAACACTATATACATTTGATTAAATGTAACTGCAAATGGGTTCATGTAATGCCAATGCGTTTTGAGGTTGGCTTGAGTTCTTGCAACGTTCGACATGTTGCTTTTTTCATAGTATGCAATAATTCGTCTCCAGAACTCTTTATCACGTTGTTGACTTCCAGTAATGCTATCTTCTGAAATTTGTAGCCAAGCTTTTGCCAACAACATTTCTTCTTCTTTGCTCCAGTAGGTTTTTTTATTTTTTTGTCGTTTGTTGGTAGGAGTTTCTGTTGGTGTTGGCTCATTTTCTGGAATATGGGGAGGATCCGGGCTGGTAGAATCTGGGTATGCATTTTGGTATGAATGTTGTGAATGATTATTTGGATTTGGGTATGGATATTGCGGAAAATTGTTTGGACTTGGATATGGATATTGTAGATGATTGTTTGGATTTGGGTATGGATGTTGTGGATGATTGTTTGGATTTTCGGGATCATAAGAAGATAACAAGTGTGTATAGTAATTCGGATTCATGATTGGTGTATCAGATGGTTGGTAGGTGTGAATGAGAATATAATATGTTCGTCTTTATTTATAGAGTTGAACATCTTGTATGCATTTGCCTTTAATTTGGATTTCATTCCACTTTAATTTCAATTTCATTTGACTCCAATTTCAATTTTATTTAACTTTAATTTGGATTTCATTCCACTTTAATTTCAATTTCATTTGACTCCAATTTCAATTTTATTTAACTTTAATTTGGATTTCATTCCACTTTAATTTCAATTTCATTTGACACCAATTTCAATTTCATTTAACTTTAATTTGGATTTCATTTCACTTTAATTTCAATTTCATTTAACTCCAATTTCAATTTCATTTAACTTTAATTTGGATTTCATTTCATCTTAATTTTAATTTCATTTTACTTTAATTTCAATTTCATTCGAATATAATTTGGATTTCATTTTACTTTAATTTGAATTTCATTTGACTCTATATTTTTTCTATAAAAGAATACAACGTTTTTATTATTTCATACCTACCAATTCAAACTATTTCTTATATCTTTCTTATACGATGTCATCATCATCCTCAGACGATTCTGCTTCTGAATTCATAATCAACCATCTCACAAGTAATTCTACATTTCAACTATATAAGGAGCTAAAATGCTTGGAAGCAGAACAGTCAGATGCTGAAAGTTCAAGACGTCCTGGGCAAAGTCGAAGATATATAGATAGAAATCGTGAAGAAGGCCATAAACGTCTTTGGAAAGACTATTTCGATGAGCATCCTGTTTTCCCACCTCAAACGTTTAGACGAAGATTTCGAATGAGGCGAGAACTATTTGTTCTAATAGTTAACGGTATCTCTAACCATTCTATTTATTTTCAACAAAGAAAAGATGCCTTAGGAAACAATGGTCTTTCCCCTTTGCAAAAATGCACTGCTGCCATACGCCAGTTGGCATATGGCACAACTGGTGACCTCTTTGATGAATACATACGAATTGGTGAATCAACTTCAATCGAATGTCTACAAAACTTTTGTCGATGCGTGATTGAGGTTTATTCAAGCCATTATTTGAGAAAACCAAATGCTAATGACATCCAAAATTTACTACAAAAACATTCAGAAAAGCACGGGTTTCCTGGTATGCTTGGAAGTATTGATTGCATGCATTGGCTTTGGAAAAATTACCCGGTTGCATGGCAAGGTCAATATACTCGAGGTGATCAAGGTTGTCCAACAATTATGTTGGAAGCAGTTGCATCACAAGACCTTTGGATATGGCATGCATATTTCCGGGTTGCCGGGTCTAACAATGACATTAATGTAATTAACCAGTCACGGTTATTCAATGATGTATTACAAGGTTATGCTCCTGAATGCAATTTTACTGTTAATGGAAGAACATACACAAAAGGATATTATCTTGCAAATGGTATATATCCTGAATGGGCTACAATGGTTAAAAGTTTTCCACATCCGGCCGACCCAAAAAGGATCAAGTTTAAAGAAATGCAAGAGGCTGCAAGAAAGGATGTGGAGAGAGCATTTGGTGTTCTACAATCTCGTTGGGCAATTGTACGAGGTCCAGCAAGATCGTGACAACTTAAAAACATAAAGGATATAATGTATACATGCATTATATTACATAATATGATCGTAGAAAATGAAGGAAATGCAATTAGTAATTGGTCAGATGATGTTGATCCTCCTATACGTGTGAATCGAGGACCTGTCGAAGAAGTTCAATATCAAATTCAAAGAAACTCTGAACTACGCGATAATGTCGTACATCATGCTCTTCGACATGATTTAATGGAGCATATTTGGGAACGTTTTATTAATATGTAATATCACTATGTTGTATTATAATAAATAAGATGTTATTTTTTTAAAATGTTTTTAAGATTTATATATTTTTTTTATTGTTTAGAATAAAAAATATGAAGTAACTTAATAAATTAAATTATTGAATATAAAATAAAATAAAGTATGATATATATATAGTTTATTGTAAAAAAAAAATATTAAATATTACTTTCTATTGAGAAAGAAAAAAAAAAGTGTTTACAATAAAATGAGAAAAAAAAAGAAATAAAAAATAAGCTTATATAATAAATTGAAAAAAAAAAAACATAAGAAAAACCATACCACGGTTGAATGGGGATTAAACCCTTCATTCAATCAACCCACTCCACAATGGTTTCTATGTTCATTCAAGTGTCACCTAGATTTTTTTTTCCCATTAAACTCCCCATTAAATGACATTGGAAATGGTCTTAGCTCAAGAGAAATCAAATATCTTTTACTTTTTCTAGCATTATTATACAGTTTTAATATTATAATAACCGTTATATTTAATAAAATTAATAATTTTTTATTACATTTGTTAGTAGGAAAATGAATAGAAAAAAAATATATAAGGATATTTAATTTCTCCTAACTCAAAATGCGAAGTGCATACAAATGCATCTAGGCGGTATTATAGACGGTTAAAATCTCATATGAAACATAGATTAATACAGAAAGAAATTAGATTTGCGGTTTATAAAAGGAAAATGTAAGCGATCAAATATATCTATACCAAGAAATCAAATAACGATCTAATTAAGAGATTTGGTAACTAATATTTTTGTTATAAGAAGTATTAATTAGTCACAATAATTACCATAATTAAATGTTAAACACATTGATTGTAAGAAATATTACCATAATTAAATATAAAATTCATTAATAATCTCTATAATTAATGCATTTCACATGTAATTATGATAATAATTGTGATTAATTAATACTTTTTATATGTGCCCATAAGCACATATTAGAAAATCCTTTTTTGTTAATAGGATATGTGCTTGGTAGTATCCAACTTAATAATTATTACAGAGTTATTATATAAATTTTAAATATCATTGTGCTACTATACCAATCTAAAAGAAATTAAAAATTGATTCAACAAATAATATATATATATATATATATATATATATATATATATATATATATATATATATATATATATATATATATATTTCAAAAATAATATTTAAAGAAAATTTTCAAGTAAGATATATTTTGCATGGATATTCATATTTTTTATGTATGTAAAATTTAGTATCAAAATTGAATGCAAATAAAAAATTCATTGGTTCATTCCACTAAATATAGTTTATTATTAACTTGCTTTATATATATATATATATATATATATATATATATATATATATATATATATATATATATATATATATATATATATATATATATATATATATATATATATATAAAAGCAAGTTTAATAATACTCTATATTTAATATTTAATGGAATGAACCAAAGAATTTTTTTTATTTATATTCAGTTTTGATACTAAATTTTACCTACATAATGAACTATATTTAATAATAAAATATATATATATATATATATATATATATATATATATATATATATATATATATATATATAATAAACTATATTTAATAGAATGAACCAATGATTTTTTTTTTTATTTGCATTCAGTTTTGATACTAAATTTTATATACATAAAAAAATATGAATATCCATCGAAAATATGTCTTACTTGAAAATTTTCTTTAAATATTATAATGAAATATATATATATATATATATATATATATATATATATATATATATATATATATTATTCGTTGAATTATATTTTTAAATTTTTTTTAATTCCACAAAAATTTTCAAAGATTTAAAAATTAATATTTAAAAAGTAACTTTTGAAAAAAAAAAAAAATACATTTTTGATACTTGTTAATAAGTAACTACCAGCAAATTAAATTTGAAAAATAAAAACTAACGACACTAAAATTATTCAATAATTGGAAACTTAAGTTTACTAATTTTTTACTTAATAACAAAATCACTCATGTTCTTGTCAATTTTTAAATCACATAATAAAAAATGAAAAAGAAACTTGTATATATTATTATCATTTTTATAAGTCAAACTTATATGTAGATTAAAATTCTGATATTCGGCATTTTGATATGGTACTAGTAACAAATTTTTTGTATCATATACAATACACGGTATGTGAAAAAAAAAAAAAAAAAAAAAAAACAATACGGTTTGTTAAAAAAAAACAAATCAATACGTGCCATGTTCACTCTAATAACCATCTCTACTAATTATCATAAAATTATATCTATTATCTTATAATTTAATAAACATTTAATATATAAATTATTTATAATATAATATTTTAAAACAACATAAATATATTGGTTGACCTATTATTGGTCCTCAATAATAATTTTATATTAGAAGATTAGTCGTAAATTCAATATATATATATATATATATATATATATATATATATATATATATATATATATATATATATATATATATATATATATATGTTCAGGTTCATTTGAGACCATTATAATTTTGTGAGACCGTAAGATCAAATCTAAACATAATTTTAAAATGCAAAACAAAGGGAAAAATCCAAAAAAAAAAATTTAAATATTATTTTCGGAACTTGAATAAATAAAAAAAATAAATAAAAAAATCCGTTTTTTTTTTTAAAAATACGTGAAATATTCTAAATAGAATATTACACTGACATATTCTAAAAAATAATTTTAAAATGCAAAATAAATGGAAAACTCTAAAAAAAAAATTTTAAATATTATTTTCGGAACTTGAATTAACTAAAAAAAATTAAAAAAAAATCCT